GCTAAATCTGGAGGAATAGATTTAGGAGTGTCCTGTACTTCATAGGTAGGAATTTGCAAAGTTAGATCTTTAGAGGTGACATGAGTTGCTTCTCAGTATTCTACTTGCAATTTGAATAGTACCATGCTACCAGTTGCCTAGGTTGTGAATTGCATGGGTTCATAGCCTAGTGTGACTGAATGATAACATACAACATAACATAACAAATGCTCTCATTCATTTAAGCCTTGTTCTTTCAAAAGTAGAGAGCTCTATCAAAACAGATTTGTTTTTTTTTTAGACAGAGTCTTGTTCTGTTGCCCAGGCTGGAGTACAATGGTTCGATCTTGGCCTACTGCAACCTCTGCTCCCAGGTGCAAGCAATTCTCTTGCCTCAGACTCCCAAGTAGCTGGGACTACAGGCATGCACCACCACACCCAGCTAATTTTTGTACTTTTAGTGGAGACACACTTTCACCATGTTGGCCAGGCTAGTCTCAAACTCTTGACCTCAAGTGATACACCCGACTTGGCCTCCCAAAGTGCTGGGATTACAGGTGTGAACCACTGCAGCCAGCCAAAACAGGCATAATTTTAGCTCATTGTATTATTTATGAAAAGAATACAAGTACATTAGTCTTGTTTGTTGAATAGTTTTTAAATTCAGTTTTTTAAAGTCCTAAGATAACAAGGCAGGTCCTGGACAGCCTCTCCTGGGCAAGAGGAGGCTGAGCAGGTGTAGCAGCCTACCCATTCCCACTTTGATGAGCACTGCTCCATTTTTTTCTGTTTTATGTATGAGTTCCACATAAAATTGATTTGAAATAGGAATTTTCTGCAAAAATTTTTTTTCCATTTATAATCTTTGATCTAAGATTTTTCCCCTCTTGACTTTAATAGAAACTCTCTCCCTCCCCTCCTCTTCTGCTCTTTCTTCTTCTGTACTTTTCTTTCCTGATAACTCACTCTAAGCCTTTACAAAATTCAGTGAGTTCCCTTAATGGTTTATAATTTTTTTTTTCTGATCAGAAACTTCTCAAGAACAACCAATGGGTGGGGAAGGAGGGGTGAGAGACCGGCAGAGGATATGAACAGCTAATTCACAAGTGCAAATGGCCAAGAAACATGAAAAATGTTTAACTTTCTTCATAATAAAATACTTACAAAATAAAATGATATTGAATATGATACCAATTCCCAAATCCTAGGTAGGCAAGAATGAAAGTGTTGGTGAGAGGCACAGAAAAACAAGCACTCATAAACTGTTGGCAGGAATATAAATTGACAGAAGCTTTTTTTTTTTTTTTTTTTTGAGAAGGAGTTTCGCTCTTGTTACCCAGGCTGGAGTGCGATGGCGCGATCTCGGCTCACCGCAACCTCTGCCTCCTGGGTTCAGGCAATTCTCCTGCCTCAGCCTCCTGAGTAGCTGGGATTACAGGCACGCGC